TGCCCGGAATATATTTTGGAAGTCTGTAGGTTGATTTGTGTTGATTTTGCCAGAATTTGGCAATTTGAAGTTAAAAGGTTTGACCGTAGGTTGACTTTTAGCTATCAAGCTCAGAATTTGAATCTGGGGCATGGAAAAGGTCCATTATAGTATTTTGAACTTATATGCAAAATTTGGTGTCGTTAGGAGTTGGTTTGATAGGATTCAGGCATTTAGTTGTAACTTTAGAAATTCTTGAACTTTACTTTGAAATTTATGTGTTTTAGAGTTTAATTTGTAGTTCTAACTGTTATTTTTATATTTTGATTGCGAGAGCGAGTTCGTATGATATTTTTAGACTTTTGTGGATGCTTGGTTTGGATCCCCCGAAGGCTCGGATAAGTTTCGGACATGTTCCGGAAAGTTTTGGACTGAAAATGCAGAAAATCGATGCCTGGTGCTCTGGAGTCACAAATGCGAACACCAGGGTCACATTTGTGAAGGTGACAGAAGAGGGGGAGTTGTCACAATGGCGACATACCTTTCGCATTTGTGAAGTCTTCCAGATCTTGCCTTGGTTCCCATTTGTGAACATTTATTCGCATTTGCCAAACTCCTAGGTTCGCAATTGCGATGCCTTTCTCGTAAATGCGAGATTTCATGAGGTTGTCATGGTTTGCGAATGTGAGCCCTGGTCCGCAATTACGAGGCTTTGCAAATGAGAACCATGTGTCGCAAATGCGACATCTACAGCTGGTTAAAGGGTTGGGAGACGGGATTTTTGAAATCATTCTCTTATTTTTGAATCCTAGACTCGGCAGGAGGCGATTTGGAGAGGGGATTTTAACCTGCAAACCTTGGGTAAGTGATTCTATTCCATTTCTAATCATATTCCATCAACATATCTTAAATTTTAACATCAAAATCATGTGAATCAAAGTAAGAATTTGTGAAACTTTGTCAAAATTTTGAAAAATAAGATTGAGTTTCGAGAGTCAATTTGGACTCGGATTTTAAAACTAATTACATATATGAACTCGTAGAGTCAGGGGTAGATAGAATCTACCATTGGACCAGGGTTTTGACCTAACGAGCCCCGAGTTGATTTTTGTTGACTTTTTGGGAAAAGTATAAAGATCTTAGCTTTATCTATTTCAAGTGAATTCTCTAGCATTGTTTGATGATATTAAGTCGATTTTGGTTAGATTTGAGCCGTGTGAAGGCGAATTTTAAGGAAAAAGCTATTTCCGAGTGTTGATTTGTCCTAGTTGAGGTAAGTGTCTTGCCTAACTTCGTATGGGGGAACTACGCCTTAGGATTGGTATTGTTTGATTCAATTGTGCTAAGTGAAATCCGTGCACGTAAGGCAACGAGTGGGTACACAGGTTGTACCTGGTATTTGACCAGTTTAGGCTACTTAGACTATTTTCATGCTTTAATTGAATGCCATATCATGTTCTAATTCTCTTAGTCAATCTATTCTTACTTGTGTTAGTTTATCCTTACATGTCTTAAATGATTTTGTTAATACTTGTTCTACCTCCTAATTGATAATTTGCTCTCATGCTTTAGTTGAACTTGTTGCCTCTTTTATTGCCACATGATATCTCTTAATTGTTGATTATCATTATTTGAAGTCATTATACATGATATCTCTTAATTGTTGATTACCATTACTTGAAATTATTGATCATGTTATCTCATTCATCATGTTGCCCCATTCATTGTTGACTCTCATTATTTGAAGTTATTGTTACCCGTTATCTCTTCCATTGTGAGTTATTCTTAGTTAACATCGTGGTTATGCATTGTCTCTCATTGTTGAGTTATTGGTGTTGAAGTGGTGAAAGTCATTATCACGTTGAGGCGAAAATGTTATTGTTGAAACCTCTTCCTTTTGAGCATTTTACATTCATTGTTGTTGTTGATAATCTTGTACCCGTTGTGGTGGAGCCGTGGGCTATTGTTCTGAAAATATTGATATGGTGGATTGTTGGCAAATTTGTATATATAGGCATATGTTGTGCGAGTTGTTATTGTAATGTGATATTGACGTGCATGAGGCAGTATAAGACTTGGGGTTGATGTGCATGCGGCGGTATAAGGTGGGACTTATATGCGTGTTACTTGTAGGGGAACTATGTGAAGCCACACAACGTCATAAGGTGGGCTAAAATGCGTGTAGCTATTTCGGAAAAACTATTTTCAAAACCTGTTTCAAATATAAAGCTCACGCGGCAATATAAGGAATGATTATGATTGAAATTAAAAAATATGAATACGAGGCGGTACCTCGGTTGTAATTCTTGATTATACAAGGCGGTACCTCAGTTGTGATTTTATTGTACACGAGGCGATACCTCGTTGTGATTCTTGCTGTTTGATTCATGTTGCAAAGAGTTTTTGTTGGAATATTTCTTGTTGTTTCATTCTTTATTACTCTAGCAGTTGTTGCCCGTATATGATCATTGTTGTTCTCTTTGGTTGTTTCTTCTATGCTATTTCCATGTTAAATTTCCTATTCTAATTCATGCTATTATCTTGGTTCGTATCAGTTATTTCTCCACTTTCCATTATTTTCCCTTATTACATTTTCATACTGTCTATTTATATCCTAGTAGGTGTCTTGACCTGGCCTCGTCACTACTCTACTGAGGTTAGGCTTGATACTTACTAGGTACCGTTGTGGTGTACTCATTCTACACTTCTGCACATTTGTTTGCATATCCAAATACGTCTACTTGTACCAGTCGTTAGAGATTGCCTGCTAGATGCTTTTATCAGAGACTTCAAGGTATGCCTGCTTGGCGATCGTAGGCGTCGGAGTCACCTTCCCTTATTCTCATTTTCTGTTGTATTTTCTTTCGGACAGTGATGTAGTAGTTACTCTATTTATACTCTATAGAGCTTTTGACTCTGTTTCACCAATTTTGGAGGGTGTGTTGTTGAGATTATGTTTTGTATCAGAAGGTTATATCAGTTATCCAACTTTTTTTTAGTATTTGATAATTGTTTCTGCCAAGTTTTATTATTATTTATTAGGCTTACCTAGTCGTAGAGACTAGGTGCCGTCGCGACATCCTACGGAGAAAAATTGAGACCGTGACAAAATTCCCGAAGAAAGATTTGAAAGATAGACAACTATATCTTTGATACAAAAGATGAGGTGAATGTAATTGGCACTATCATACTTGAGACAAAAATCATTAGATATGACTATTTCACTAAGAAAAATCCTATTTTAAAGAGTACTGTAAAAACACAATACTTTCAATCAAGGCAGATCTTAAACAATGTTAGTTCTTTTCTTGTTAGATATGTGAAAATTAGGTAGATTCCTTTAAACATACATTAAGGATCCCTCTAATGTGACTTGGGAGGAAGTAGAGTTCTGTAAGATTTTATTTTGAGAGAAAATATGGCTCAAGGCAACCATCCTGTCAGCAGCATGGTTAGCTTCCCTGAATTATTAGGTCAAGGAAAAGTCATTATGTTCTCTATCTTCTTAATTCTTCCTCTTCTTGAGATATTCTCCAAGGGCTTCTATAAAATTCATTGACACGCCTACTAACGGAGGGTGCATGCACAAATTAGATGGCCATCATTGTTTCTAATCACTCATCCCCCTCCACAAATATCATATTTACAACGTGGAGTTTCTTTGTACCATAGCCATAGCGGGTGGAGTTTCTCTTTGTCTTTCTCTCACTATTTGGCTGTTTTTTCTTTATTTTCCAAACATTTAACCAAACACCCAATTTTTTTCTCTCAATGTTATGGCCTTTCACAAAAACATCCTTAAAACATATTTCTTGTATTTAAAAAAGAAAAAAAAAGAAGCAAAACCATCTAGTGTTATTCGTAAATGTTGAACTGATAGGTTATATGTGTATCCCTGTTTTGTTTTGATGATCTAACAAACTTACTGTTAAGAACGAGATAAGGAACATGTTACACATCCTCAAGAACACAAGATCAACAAGTTTCCAGTTGGGAACATTATTCAACTCTTGAGAGTCAAAGGAACAGTAGAGGGAACATGTCGCTACCAGCTCCCGAGGTGACTGCATAAAGTCAACTTCACAGCTGTAAAGTTGCTACCTGCATATGCTACAGTACAGAAATAGTGCAGCAGTCAACTTTATGGGAAATACCCTTTACCTAACTTGCTTGCATCATCCAAGTAATGTCACAAATGAGATATTAACATCAAGCAAAGGAAAAACAAATCACTTGCACATTCAAGAACTCATCAAACATTCTCTCAAGTCTGTGTCAATCATGCAAGTGATTCTCAAGGGCATTAAGAAAGAAGAACAACATAACTAAGGACCAGTTCCATGTATTGAAGTTATTACATGTCCTTAGTTGTGTTGTACCTTTGTTAAAGCACTCTACTTGTAATTCCTACTTAGCTTAGTTAGAAGCATTGTGTAGGAAATCTTTGTAAATCAACCCTTGTGTTTGTGTCTTGGCTAGTTTAGTCAAGCTGGAAGTCTTTGTAATAGAGTTATTACAAAGTAGCTTGTAATAGAGTTGTTACAAGTTAGTGAGTTATAAAGTCTTTGTAATATAGTTATTACAAAGTGGCTTGTAATAGAGTACTACAAGTTAGTGAGGGATTAAGAGGTTAATTCCTAGGTTACAATAGGTTGTAATCTAAAGTTGCTCAGTAGTGAAGTTGAAATCTTACAAGGGTAGGTCGTGATTTTTAAATCCCGTTGAGCTGGAAATTTTCCACGTAAAATTCGTCTTTTCATTTACTTACTGCAGTGTGAGTGGTTTCTGTGCGAACTTATATCTGTGGAAATTTATAGAGAACCTGGTTCTCTATATAGTTTGGTGGACCCTTAAATTCTATTATTTGGTATCAGGGTAGATTCTTTCTAAAAGGTTTTTACCTAGAAAGGATCTACATGGTTGCTCCACCAAACTTCGAGGAAGGACAATCTACGTGCATGCCACCAAGGTTCAATGGTCAATATTATGGATGGTGAAAGACTAGGATGCACGACTTCATCATGGCTGAAGATTCCGAGCTTTGGGATGTCATCTGTGATGGACCTTTTGTCTATACAAAAACCAATGGTAACCCAGCGATAACTGTTCCCAAAACAAGAAAGGAATTCAAGGACGCTGACCAAAAGGACATAGAAAAGAATTTTTGTGCAAAGAAAATTCTTGTTTGTGGCATTGGTCCTGATGAGTACAATAGGATTTCAGCATGCAAATCAAGGAGATCTGGGAAGCTCTCCAAACAGCTCGTGAAGGGACAATGCAGGTAAAGCAGTCCAAGATTGACATGCTAACCATAGAGCATAAGTTTTTCAGAATGAAGGACGGCGAATACATTCAGGATATGCACACTCGTTGACATCTATCATCAATGAGCTTCACTCTCTGGGAGAGATCATCCCGAGGAACAAACTCGTTAGGAAGATACTTAGTGTATTACCTGGTTCCTGGGAAAGCAAGGTATATGCTATCACAGAAGCAAAAGATCTGTTGAAGCTGACCATGGACGAACTTGTTGGCAATCTGAAGACTTATGAAATGAAGAAGAAGAAGGACAATGAGAGAAGAGAGCCGAAAAGGGAGAAGAACCTGGTCCTCAAAACAGACAATGACTCAGGAGGTGAGGATGCTGATATGGCATATTTGACAAAGAAATTTCAGAAAATGGTTCGCAGAAGTAGAAGTATCCCAAAGAGGGGTAGTTCAAGCAAGCCAAGAGGGTATGACCTTTGATCATAAATGTGGAAAGTCAGGACAGTTCATCAAGGACTGCCCTCTCCTTAAGCAAGACCAGTACAAGCACAACACAGACAAAGGAGGGAAAAGGAACTAGGTTCCTGACAAAAAGTTCAAGAGAAAAGATATCACTGACAATGTTGTGAAGCAAGCTCTTGCCTCCTCCAGCGAATCTGGAGATGATAATGATCAAGGTGACAACTCCATGATGGCAGTAGAAAGTGAAGCAGCTGAATATGATTCCATATTTTCTCTAATGGCTAACTGAGATGAGGATGAGGAAGATGACGATAAAGATGAGGTAAACTTTCTGGATGTTCAAAGAAACTTGAAATCCTATTCTCAAAAGAAACTTATATCTTTGGCTAATGTTTTAATTGATGCTTATCACAATCTTATTGATGATAAAAATGCGCTAACCACGGAACTAGGAGAAATAAAACACGAGAGAGATGATCTAGTGGTGGTTGCGTGTGATCTAAGAGAGACCATTGGTAGTTTAAAAAGGGAAAAATATACCTTGACTGAGAGAATTGCAAACATAGAGCACGAGAAAGATGACCTATTGGTAGTAGTTGTAGACCTAAAGGAAACAATTGAGGAACTAAGAAGGGAAAATAGGCCTGTGAACACTAAAAAGGTAAAGGAAGTTGCAAGTGAGGCACACCTTAAGCTTGAAAATGAGTTAAGATTAGTGAAATCTAGTTTGTGTGCAGAGCTTGAGAAAAACAAACAACTTCAGGAAGAACTAGGAAGAGTAAAAAGTGTTCTTGAAAAATCACTTAAGTGGACCTGGTCCTCTGATTCTATCACTGTTTTGTACACAAACAATGGGGAAAACGGACAGGGAATCGGGTTCCAAAAGGAAAAGACTCGCTATAACCCTCATAGCAAGTACGTTACTGTACCTGACAATTGGCTTTGCACTCACTGTGGCAACACTGGGCACTTTAAAGAAAACTGTAAGGCCGGAATTCAGTCTCAACAGAAAAATAAAGTTTTTGCTGAAAAAGTAATTGTTGTTAGGGAACCTGGTCCTTCACATAAAAAACATATAATGCCTGCTTGTACCAAAAGATCCCTCATTCACCCCTTTCCTCATTACAAGGGACCCAAAATTATTTTGGTTCCTAAGTCTAACCTTTGATTTCCTTATGCAGGGAACAGTGAAAGGGAGCAGTCAATAGTGGCATATGGATAGCTGCTGCTCGAAGCACATGACTCGAGGTACAAATGATTTTCTTTCACTGAAGGCCCTACAGGAAGGGAGTGTATCCTTTGAAAATGACAAAAAGGGATACATTCTGGGAGTATGAAGCATTGGGAAGTATCTCACTCACTTAATCGAGAATGTGTTTTACGTGAATGGCTTGAAGTATAGCTTGTTGAGTGTCTCTTGGATCTGCGACAAAGGCAATAAGCTGTCTAAGTGCTATTGATGATGATGCTGAACTATGGCATAGAAGTCTGGGTCATGCAAGTTTTCCGTTGTGAACAAATTGGTCAGGAAGGACCTGGTTCGTGGTCTGCACAAGTCAAGCTTTAAGGATCACAGGGTGTGTGATGCATGTGTAAAGGTAAAGCAAGTCAGATCCTCTTTCAAGCTCAAAAAGTAAGTAAGCACTTCAAGGCCAGTTGATCTCTTCCATATGGATCTATGTGGACCTATAAGAGAACCAAGTAGAGGAGGAAAGAAGTATATTTTCGTCATTGTGGATGACTACTCTAGATTCACATGGACCTTGTTCCTCAGAACTAAATATGAGACTCCATCCGACATAAAAGAACTTGGTCCCTCAATCACAATAACAGAAGCAGAAAACAGAGTTGTTGATGTTGTACATGGAACTCCAGCTGCTGAGGTGAGGAACATGACACATGGATTAAATCCAGAGGAACACGAATCCTTTCTTAATAAGATCCAGGTGTCCAACTGGAAGCACAAGAGCTCACACCTTCTTCAAAACATAATCACTCCTCTTGATTCAGAAATTCAAACCAGGTCAAAGACAAGAAACTCGCTTGCCTTCTCAGCCTTTCTCTCTCAAATAGAGCCCAAGAATATCAAGGAAGCATTGAAAGATTTAGACTGGATTACATCTATGCAAGAAGAGCTCCATCAATGTGAGAGGAACAGTGTGTGGAACCTGGTTCCACGGCCTGCAGACAGAACTGTTATAGGAACCATATGGGTATTCAGAAACAAACTTGATGAGTTTGGAAGCATGTTTTTTAAACTCGATAAGGCTTTGTATGGGTTCGAGCAGGCTCCCCATGCTTGGTATGAAAGGTTGTCAAAATTCCTTCTAAAAAATGGCTTTACAAGAGGGGAAATTGATAGGTTATATGTGTATCCCTGTTTTATTTTGATGATCTAACAAACTTACTGTTAAGAACCATATAAGTAACCTGTTACACATCCTCAAGAACTCAAGATCAACAAGTCCCTAGTTGGGAACACTATTCAACTCTTGATAGTCAAAGGAACAGCAGAGGAAACAGGTCGCTACCAGCTCCCGAGGTGACTGCATAAAGTCAACTTCACAGCTATAAAGTTGCTGCCTGCATACGCTACAGTACAGAAATAGTGCAGCAGTCAACTTTATGGGTAATGCCCTTTACCTAACTTGCTTGCATCATCCAAGTAATGTCACAAATGAGATATTAACATCAAGCAAAGGAAAAACAAATCACTTGCACATTCAAGAACTCATCAAACATTCTCTCAAGTCTGTGTCAATCATGCAAGTAATTCTCAAGGGCATTAAGAACGAAGAACAACATAACCAAGGACCAGTTCCATGTATTGAAGTTATTACATGTCCTTAGTTGTGTTGTACCTTTGTTAAAGCACTCTACTTGTAATTCCTACTTAGCTTAGTTAGAAGCATTGTGTAGGAAATCTTTGTAAATCAACCCTTGTGTTTGTGTCTTGGCTTGTTTAGTCACGCTGGAAGTCTTTGTAATAGAGTTATTACAAAGTGGCTTGTAATAGAGTTATTACAAGTTAGTGAGTTATAAAGTCTTTGTAATATAGTTATTACAAAGTGGCTTGTAATAGAGTATTACAAGTTAGTGAGGGATTAAGAGGTTAATTCCTAGGTTACAATAGGTTGTACTCTAAAATTGCTCAGTAGTGAAGTTGAAATTCTACAAGGGTAGGTCGTGATTTTTAAATCCCGTTGAGCTGAGAATTTTCCACGTAAAATTCCTCTTGTCATTTACCTACTGCAGTGTGCGTGATTTTTGTGCGAACTTATATCTGTAGAAACTTATAGAGAACCTGATTCTCTATATAGTTTGGTGGACCCTTAAATTCTATCATGAACAGTGCCCTACCAATAAGTTCCCCAACTAGCTTCGTTCTCTTAGTCAATCTCACCGTATTTGAGTCAAGGAAAATTGCTTTAATTTGAGAAAAAAGGAGTTTGGGGTGGAGAGTTTGGTGCGTAAAAAAAGTGTAATTGAATCTTGCACATCAAACTGGGTAAAATATAAATGAATCTTGCCCATTAGAGTTTAATAATTGGATATGGAGACAATTAATATAGGTACTGGAATACTGGAATGGAGAAGAGGAGGGAATAGGAGGGTGTTTTAGCGGATGAATTTTAGAATAGGAAGGTTGGAGCTGGAGGAAGAGGACTGCATGTGGGACATATTTTTATGCAAAATGATAAGATTGTCCCCGCTATTAATGCAAGGTCAATATGCAGGCAGGGGCATTTTAGAGATACAAAAAATGGGTATAAAAGGTATTTTGGGGACTCGTTCCGGGGCCGGACATTATAAAAACACCTTGAGACTCATGTGTGGAGCTTAGTTCTATGAAGCTTACGCAGACAAGCGCCTGACTGTGCGCCCTAAACACGCCTAACTCTCAACGCTCGGGGCTCGCCCAAAAGTTCCTATGCAAATTATATGTCGGATTCACTAAATAGCAGTATTGACTATCAAAAAATTTTAACAAATGAATTAGTAAATTTCTTCCCATCTATAGGATTATGAAAATTGTGAATAACTCAAATAATAAATTATAGTATTTTATATTTACTAATTGAGAACATTGTGAGACGTCATGATAACCAAAATTTATATCTTTACTTGCTAGATCTTCATATCCTAGTTATGTGTCCCTCAAAATTATCATACATTTTTGCTATTTGAAATTACTAAAGTAATTTTGCATTTACTCATGAAGGAGTAATTTTTTAAATTACAAGATTGGTAAAATTTATTGAGTATTTACTTTTCTTGATGTAAAAAGTGCATTTTGATAATACTTTTTAATAAAATTATAATTTTTTATTGTTTGAAAGTTAAGACGTTATAGTTGATTTATATTTCATAATAATTTTAAGAATATTTTATTGTTTATACTTGTAAAATATGCTAAAATCTTATTTTCTATGAGTTTCTTTATATTTTTTAAATTTTCTTGCGCGTTTAATGTTTTTTTTATATTTTTTAGTGTTTAATGTTATATTATTAATTTATATATTTAAGGATCTGTTGGGCTTACGCCTCGCATGTACAAAGCACCGCCCCACATTTTAAAACACTGATATATACAATTTTGAATTCAATCTCAGTGAGAGTCTAGTACCCAAGAGCCCGAGAAAAGGTACTCCACTTTCTTCCCTTTCTAATTTTTGGTATGTTTGGAATTTGGTTTTTTCCCTTCATACAGGCTCGGGCACTTCTTACGACTTCATAAATCAATTTTTTCGAGCCTACAATCCTAAATATCACCACAAAGGCGAAGGCAGAATGCCACCGAAAATTCTTGGGGAAATGTTCTATCTAAACTACTTCTCCATATGAGTCAAATTTACTTACCATGTAAAAATAGGAGTAGGATAAACTAGGGGCGGAACCAAAAATTTATGTAAGTGGATTAAAAAAATTCTAGGATATCAGAGGGGGATTTAAACTTATGACCTAAAGCAACTTTTCAAATCTCTTCACTAGAATACTTGAATTTTACTTCATGTTTAAGGGTATTCAACAATGCACGTATAACCAAAAAATAATTTTTATCTTATTTACATGAACCCCTTCATATTACTTAGTTCTGCCACCGGGATGAACCCGAAATTTTGATTCCACTGATACAAAAACCCGATCTGCAGCCTAAAATAAACAAAGAGTAAGCGATCCATGGTAATACCTGTTAGTCCCGCCAATATTGTTGTATTTGTAAATAATAATTCTGGAAAATATAAGTTATCGTAATGAAAAAGTAATTAATTCAAGCCCACTGAATTTACAGTGTTTCCTTAAGGAATTTAATCCCCTACTAGTACCCAAGGTTATGGATTATTTCCTCCCAGGATAGAAATCACACAATGGTGTAGCGGTTCTTCAAACCCCAGTGTTTCAGCGACCACAAAGTTCGGTAGCAAATCACACTTACACTTGCTTTGTTTGAAGTTAAAACAATGCAGAACAAAGGAGTAGAAACTCAGAAAATCGTATGAAAATGCTGAGAGGAAGGAGTGCAATGTATAGCCAAAGTTGAGCGTTTACAGTTTTGGTGTATCTTTCTTCAACAGCTGCTGCACATATTTATAGCAGTCAGCTTTGAAGATGAACGATCCTCCACCCTCCATGGTGGAGCATGCACTAGCTTGTTTGTGGAGCAAGCACTTGGCCATGGTGGGAAGAGCATTAGGCGGCTACTATTGCAGCTGGTGGTCAATACACAGATTGAAACATATCTGTTATAAATGCGGATAATCTTACGTTAATATTTACTATTAACAAATAAATTTGGTCCAATCAATCGATCATTTGACCAAATCCGAATTCGAAGCCGAAGCCGAAGCTGAAGCCGAGCAGAGCAGAGCGAGCGACGACGACGACGACGACGGCGCGAGGCTTATTTTTTTCTTAACTCTTTAAGAGCTACAAGAAGAGCAATTATATATATACCCACCAAAAATCTTTTCCTCTTCCAATATGGGACAATGTCTCATTGTCAAGAGGGAAAAACTTAAAATTTTACTCAAAAAATTCATTTTTCCCTCCATTTCCCATTCACCCTCATTTTAAGACTATTTCATCTTAAATAACAAAAACCTCAACAATCCCCCACATGAATGGGAAATGGCTATATCACGGAAGTATGCATAGAAAAACTGTGTGATTTGCAAGCAAGGATTAATCGCATCTGGGTAAGTAGGTTTCCTTTTGAACTTTCCGTAGTGAACTTATGTCGGATATACTCGGTCAATCGGTAGATTTGATATCTTTGAACCGTCGATCTTTGGTGTATACCTAGACAAACATAAATCACACAATCAACCCTTAACTGTATTTGGTTCTCATTGTTGTGTTCGTTTCAGCCATGAACACCGCCTGGTTTAATAAGTGCGTAGAGAACTGGCCTTACAAAGTTCTCCTTGAAGCGGCTAACACTTCACACTTACATAGGTGATTCCTAAACGTGTCATCCTGTAGATACACTATTTGATATACCCCGTATCAAATTTAGAAATCATTAAAAAGCCTTAATGCTTTATCCTTGGTACTGAACATTGTCTCATCACGAGAATGGACTAAAATTTTATTTGACAATGTTGAACCGTCATTAATGACTTTGTTTGATCTCTTTGAACCTAGATCTTGGGATCTCCAGTCTTCTAGGTAGAGTTACCGCCACAATGACTTGTTCTCGGCCATAGCCCCATTCCCCTTGATGATTTCTCAACTACCTCTCTAGTTAGGCCTTTTGTAAGTGGATCCGACACATTATCACTTGACTTTACATAGTCAATTGTGATAATTCCTCTAGAGAGTAATTGCCTAACGGTTTTATGTCTTCGTCGTATATGACGAGATTTACCGTTATACATGACGCTCCCAGCCCTTCCAATTGCCGCTTGACTATCACAATGTATGCATATTGGTGCCAACGGTTTGGGCCAAAATGGAATGTCTTCCAAGAAATTCCGGAGCCATTCAGCTTCTTCACCGGCTTTATCTAAGGCTATGAATTCA